GGTATGTAACAAATAATCTGCATAAGTACTAGTCTAACTCGAGATCTAATAAACTATTTCATTGTTTCAAATGTTATTCTTGAGATAATAATCAATTCATTTGCTCGTTTTCTCTTCTGCAGTCATCTTTCATTTGTTGGTGGATTTGCCCGGAACAGGTGAGGCAGCTTAATCCCAATTTTATTATTTATGTATCTTAAAGTGAACGGGAAAAAAATGATAATATCTGACTGACTATCACAATAATTGGTCATAAACTTCCTACAGTCATCCTTCATTTGTTGATGGAGATGCCAGGAACGGGTCAGGCAGTGTAATTCCGATTTTAACATTTATGCACCTTAAAATGAACTGAAGATGAAAAAAAGATAATATCTGATTGATTATCATAATAATTAGCCATAGACTTACAGACTTCCTGTTGGGATTACATCAGATTGTGACTCAAAACGTAAGTTGAAAAGAAAAACAAAAAAGTCGTAGAATAACGGTGCTATTACCCTGATCTCCCTTATTTCCAGTTTTAAAACCTTTCGCTTCAGTGATGTAGAGGGTTTTGATGCCCATTGTTTGTTATTAAAATTAATAGTGTCAAAAAAAATACTTTCTCGTCTCCATCATTATCATTATCACAATTGTTATCATCAGTATACATTTTTTCGTTTATTTATTCATTCCTTTCTTTTTTCTCATAGAGTGCCAAGCAACCTGTTTCAAAAACTCCTCTTACGTATTTTCGAAAAGTGCAGCAAGATGGAATTTCAACTGGTATGTCTGCTGGTACCAGGGAGGTTACTTAGTCTCCATCGAAACTGAAGAAGAATGGAAGTTTATCAGTAATGAGATTAAAAAGCGTGGTATTGGGAATACTAGTGCATGGCATATTGGTTTAAGGAAGAGAGACGGGAATTGGACTTGGGAGAGTGGACAACATCTGAATATTTCGAAATGGCGTGATTCTGAGCCAGAGGGTAAGGACAATTGCGCGGAAATATCCGAGAATGGAGGCCTTTTTAATGGTATCTCTTGGAATAATGAAAATGCCTGCATTTGTGAGATGCCCGTAGGTAAGATCACATTCCAACCATAAAGTATATTATGTGCTGAAATATTAGAGTCTTGCACTTGTGTCATGAAAATTTCTCTTGATTCTTAAAAGTAAAAATATTGTTCACAGAATATGCTCAGCTCACCTAACTTGTACGTGTAAGCGATAAATGAACTTTCATGCGCCTAATAGTGTTTGAACATAATACCCATAAAAATTTCCGGGACACATGCTTCAAGAAGCAATTTGATCACTCTAGAACTGTCCTTTTTTGCATCGCCTGCAGCTGGAAAAAGAGCGACGGAAATTGTACATTTCTCAACTTTTGTCGAGCGTGCTACGGTTGAAATAATCCAGCAAACTGAATTTTTCTGTGACACAAATTAGAAGTGTTCACTGAGGTCAGTGAGTGTATGCATGCTGTTTTGAGCATAACACATCGAAGAATTTTTATTTTTTGTGTGTGCGTGCGTGGGTGTGTCTGTGTGTGTTTCTTTTAGGAGTCAGTGATAAATATGTTATTCACAGCCGAGAGGTCCGTATTGGGTAATACTGTGCCCAGGGTCTTGAGAACCGGCACTTAGGACAGAGTGCACAGTTTTTCCCAATAAGGGACCGACCTAGGCTGGTGAATAACAGTTTTTTTTCCTCTTAAACTCAACGAAATGTTTTTAAAAACAACCCTAATGATTTAAGGTTATAATTAAGGCAAGATCCTCCATGAACTGAACAAATTTTGAGCGAGTGAATGGTAGTTGAAACAGACTAAGGTAATGCAAATTGAAGAGAGGCTTGACCGAAATATTTTTAGTGTAGGGAACAAGATGATTTAAAAGGCTTCCATAGAATTTTTGAAACAATTTATTTTAACAAGTATCTGTCACAATCTGACACCTGTCAATTAGAGATTGCGTAAGACAAAAGCGCATCCACGCCTTAAAACGACAACAACAACAACAACAACAACAGCAACGGCGCTCAGCTCAGCGAGGAACTAATTTATTATTCAAAAACTCAACTACCAAAATTACATGAATTCATAGATAATCTTAGCTGATGTGAAGTCAACCAATTCAGAAAAGCAGGTCAGAGATTGCAGACGCCGGAGCGAAGAAAGATGTATTGTATTAATTTACACTAAAAAAAAACAATGTTAGAAAAAAGGAATCAATTAAAGAATAAGTTACGTTTTTTATCTCATTCATTTTTCCCCTTTATTATTGTGATTGTGATTATAATCTTATTATGTTATCATGATTATTATAATTATCATTTTGTTTATCGTCATCGTGATAATTAGTATCTTTGTCTTCATTTTTATCATGTTGTAGAATGCCCAAATATAACTTTTAAAAACTCTCGGTACATAATTTCGGTGGATGGATGGTACTGGCACCTGAACAGAGATATCTGCCAGAGTCAAGGAGGGGACCTAATTTCCATTGAAACCGAAGAAGAATGGAATTTCATCAATAACGAGATTCAAAGGCGGAATACTTCCAGCTGTAAAAATAAATGGAGTATTGGTTTAATGAAAGAGGACGGTAATTGGACCTGGGTGAATGGGAAACCGCTGACTGTTTCCAAATGGGGACAAGGGGAGCCAAGTGGTGAACACGACGTTGGTTTCATGTACAAGCGGTTCAGTAATGACAAACTGGGCTTGTTTGGTAGTGTTAAAAGGGAAATTTGGATAAACCAGCATGCTTATATTTGTGAGATTTCCAATGGTGAGTTAACTTGTCGTTGTTGTTGTTTTTTTCTTAAATGTTCTTTTGAGTAGACTAAAAGGCTCTAGAAGCGCTTAAGCGTAACAAAAACATTCTTTCCTAACGTTTGTGATACTCACGACAGAATATATATATATATATACTCTGAAAGTTAGGATCAAGTTTACACTTACCTTTGCTTAAATGAAAATATGTTTTAAACAATCTCAATGAACGTTTTAACGATATAGATGTCTAACTTTTAACCTTGTGAGCGGAGGAAAGTTACAGACGGTTCTGTATTATCACTATTACGAGTAACAGCAGTTACGAAACTGATAGTGAATTCTAATTGCAAAGAATCATCAGTCCAATTGCTTTGCTAGTTGATAACGCGTGATAATGTGAAGTGCGATATCTTTTGTGTGCTAATGACTCATGTCAGTTAAGATACATGCCGATTATCGTTTTATAAAACAAATACAGAAGACTTGCAGAATTATTTGTTCTTCGCAAAGGGGAATGACTTTTACGTTTATTGCATACTATTTTAATGTCCAATCGTTTGAACTGTAAAGTTGTAGGGGCTAATTTCAATGTAGCGCAAAATGTGCCGTGAACACAATAAACTGACTATCCTGCATCTAATTCGAATATTGCGAGCACTTCGATCGACCTAGCAACCACTATTCTGCACCGAGGTTAGTAAGGGTTGCCTCAGTTCTCATAATTATGTTACCACGGGGCGTAGATACATTCTTTTGTTTTAAAAATAGTCAAAACTGAGTTGGAGTTTAATTGATATTCTGCTCACCGAAAAGATAAACATAGACATGCGAAGCATGCAAGAACTATTACTTTGGTTAGGAGGGTTGAGATGGGACACTTGGTGTTCCTAACGCTTTCAGTTTTATAACGGAAAAAAGCATAACTTTTAAAATAGCGAAAATATCGCATTACTTCACCTAAAAAGAAAGAAAACAAAACCTAAATTATCTGAACTTACACTATTTGGGGTCTATTGTCTCTATTGTCTAAAAGCCCTCTAAGGAAAAATAAAATGCATCGGTGCCACGCTTACCGTTGTTGTTTGGTCTCGTCACACAAATAACGGTCGAGAAAGAGACAACGTTTACTGCTGTTCCTAAGACAGCAAGAAGATCAACATTATTCGTCTACAGTTAGTTACCTCAAAAAAGAATCCTCGTTTTATCACCAAAAGCGAAACGAAACTCTGTAGTATTTCCAATAGACCCTAGCCAAAGATAGATTGCGATCTCGAATAAGTGAAGATATATTGAATAAGAGATGAGGAAAGTATTTTAAAGACGGCTCCTTGGTTCGTTGTTGCCTATCTGGACTTTGCCACCTAAATTAAAATGCGATGGGATTAAGCCCAAAGTAGCTAAAAGTGACTTTTATTCTCACGAAAAGTCATAACGCGGGAGAATTACTTACATAATTCACTATCAGTAGCATTCGGTTTCATGTGAATTTTTTGGTATTGGATAATGCGGTTCGAATAAGTGATAAAATGCAAGTTGTTTACGAGGAAATAACTCGTGATGGAGAAAAGTCTAAAGAGGCATAATGGAATTTGATCGGTGGAATACAATTCAAACAACAGAATACGGAACAAGCTGTTAAAATATTGTCTTACAGCTTTTTCAGCTACCAGGGAAAACTCTTTAGAAGATATTTCATTCTCTACTCATTTGGCGTCTAGTTTCCAAAAAAATCCCAAAACTTTATAGGTACATCAATCACAGAAGACGTGTGCGAACGAAAATACAAAGGAAACAATAAAATTGTTCTGTTTAACCAACAAAACATCGAGTGCATTTCAGAGATTTCATCGTTCTGAGCGGCCATTTTGTTGGTATGCTCTCTGCCTACATTTTTGCCATCACAGTGTAAAATTAAGGCAATTTTGTCTTATGATATGGTCTTAAGCTTTATTTTTCTTTAAAGATTCATCAATATCTACATCACCCTTACCATCGTCGTCACCGTCGCCCTCACCACCACTGTCGCCATCGCTATTGCCGTTACCATCGCTTACGCCATTGCAGTCGCTGTCACCATCGCTCATGCCCTCGCCCTCGCCCTCGCCCTCGCCAGCTCCATCATCATTGCTATCGCTGTCGCCGTCGCTGTCGCCGTCGCCGTCGCCGTCGACATTGCCATCGACATTCACATTGCCATCGCCATTGCCCTCAGCCTTGTCCTCGCTCTCGTCATTGCCATTGCATTCACCGTCACCATTCACGTCGCAATCGCCATTGTCGTCTTCGCCGTCGCCGTCGCCGTCGCCGTCGCCGTCGCCGTCCTCTCTCTCGCCATTGCAAACAGCATCATTGTCATCGTTGTTAAGGGCACTGCCCTCGCCCTCGCCCTCGCCCTCGCCCTCGCCCTCGCCCTCGCCCTCGCCCTCGCCCTCGCCCTCGCCCTCGCCCTCGCCCTCGCCAGCTCCATCGCCATTGCCATCGACATTGACATTGCCATCGCCATTGCCCTCAGCCTTGTCCTCGCTCGCGTCATTGCCATTGCATTCCCCGTCGCCATTCACGTCGCCATCGCCATTGTCGTCTTCGCCTTCGCCGTCGCCGTCACCGTCGCCGTCCTCTCTCTCGCCATTGCAAACAGCATCATTATCATCGTTGTTAAGGGCACTGCCCTCGCCCTCGCCCTCGCCCTCGCCCTCGCCCTCGCCCTCGCCCTCGCCCTCGCCCTCGCCCTCGCCCTCGCCCTCGCCCTCGCCCTCGACATTGCCATCGACATTGACATTGCCATCGCCATTGCCCTCAGCCTTGTCCTTGCTCTCGTCATTGCCATTGCATTCCCCGTCGCCATTCACGTCGCCATCACCATTGTCGTCTTCGCCGTCGCCGTCGCCGTCGCCGTCGCCGTCGCCGTCGCCGTCGCCGTCCTCTCTCTCGCCATTGCAAACAGCATCATTGTCATCGTTGTTAAGGACACTGCCCTCGCCCTCGCCCTCGCCCTCGCCCTCGCCCTCGCCCTCGCCCTCGCCAGCTCCATCACCATTGCCATCGCCATTGCCCTCAGCCTTGTCCTCGCTCTCGTCTTTGCCATTGCATTCCCCGTCGCCATTCACGTCGCCATCACCATTGTCGTCTTCGCTGTCGCCGTCGCCGTCGCCGTCGCCGTCCTCTCTCTCGCCATTGCAAACAGCATCATTGTCATCGTTGTTAAGGGCACTGCCCTCGCCCTCGCCCTCGCCCTCGCCCTCGCCCGCCCTCGCCCTCGCCCTCGCCCTCGCCCTCGCCCCGCCCTCGCCCGCCTCGCCCTCGCCCCCCGCCCCGCCGCCCCTCGCCCTCGCCCCCCACGCCCCGCCCTCGCCAGCTCCATTGCCATCGCTGTCGCCGTCGCCGTCACCGTCACCGGCACAGTCACCGTCACCGTCACCGTCACCGTCACCGTCACCGTCACCGTCACCGTCACCGTCACCGTCACCGTCACCGTCACCGTCACCGTCACCGTCGCCGTCGCCGTCGCCCTCGCCCTCGCCCTCGCCCTTGCCCTCGCCGTCGCCGTCGCCCTCGCCCTCGCCCTCGCCCTCGCCCTCGCCCTCGCCCTCGCCCTCGCCCTCGCCCTCGCCCACGCCCTTGCCCTCGCCAGCTCCATTGCCATCGCTGTCGCCGTCGCCGTCACCGTCACCGGCACAGTCACCGTCACCGTCACCGTCACCGTCACCGTCACCGTCACCGTCACCGTCGCCGTCGCCGTCGCCCTCGCCCTCGCCGTCGCCGTCGCCGTCGCCGTCGCCATCGACATTGCCATCGACATTGACATTGCCATCGCCATTGCCCTCAGCCTTGTCCTCGCTCTCGTCATTGCCATTGGATTCACCGTCGCCATCCACGTCGCCATCGCCATTGTCGTCTTCGCCGTCGCCGTCGCCGTCGCCGTCGCCGTCCTCTCTCTCGCTATTGCAAACAGCATCATTGTTATCGTTGTTAAGGGCACTGGTATGTGTTCCAAATATGTCTCTGCATGTTTCTTTTCAGGACCTGCACGGTTTATGAATTTGACGGACACTTTTTTTATTTATTTATTCCAGGCAAATGAGTATGTTTTAGAATTTGACGAAATGATCAATACCAGGAGGAGTACCATAGAGGTATACAATTTTCATAATAAAAATTCAGGCTCCTAAAAGAGTTTTCTAGCAATTGAAACCCTAAACATCAGTTGAGACCTCAGGCTAGGCTCTATCTGCATTCTTAGTACGAATTGTCTATACGAGACAGGCTAATTAAGATCTGGAAATATTTTATGTAATTGTAGGAGGCTGTAACTATGTTTGAAGATTTCATCATAAAAATCAAGAACGTCACAAAAGACAAGGCTGGCATGGAAGAGGTTAAAACGCTAAGAATATCCGTCTTTAAAGTGGCAAAAGCCTTCGAGAAATTTGCCCTTAATTATGGCAAGCAACGCCTGAGCGGAATGAGACCTTTCGAGAGGTTCGTTTTCTCAAAAATAGGTGAGGTTACGGCCTACAATTCTGTTTAGTTTTAAAGTGTATTCCTCTGTTACTTACTGACTTGTTGACCAACGGACTGAATTGTGTTAGTTCCTAGACGATGTAAGAACTCACTGTAAACCTAACCTTTTAGAAATGTTGTTGTATGTCATCGACTCATTTTTTTTAAAATTTCTTTGACGCTTTAATTTTTTGCAGTGGAGAGGAAAATTAGAGGTATTCTTGAACAATCAAGAAGAGAAAAAAGGAATCCTTCAAAATTTTAAAACCCTTCTTCTCGCTCTGTTTTTGCAATTTATCCTTAATAATAAAGTATATTTGTGAGCAGAAATTACTACTGGAATAATCAAATCTTGCAAATATTTCCCTTTACTTCATACTATGCACTGAGCTCAAAATTGGTATATCGTCTGCGATGTATATAAATCCCTGCTTTTTAAGCGCACTCGTAAAAATTAAAAAAAAAAACTAATGAACGCTAATTTTCTCTGCTGAAACGGGGAACGACATTTCAGAAATGATTTTTCACAATTTTAGTCCGTGTAGAAATACTCACATTTTTATTCAGTTTTCCTTTAAAAAAGCGTTTTTAAAATGGTTGTATTCGTTGGAGAGTCATGAAAGGGTAAATACAATACAAACAATACACTTCCATCCAATATGATTATAAAGTACACCGCAAAACGTATGTTGTCTATAAGTATTGTTTTTCCGACAGTTTTGGTAATTCAAAAAGCCTATCGCTTGAATGCGAGTGACTTCAGCTTTGAGGTACAACAATGGCATACGAGAATCAATATTGCCACTTCAAACTTTGAGGAAAATGGTTCGTATTAAATAAGGTGTTACCTATACAGCTTTTAGTTCCCTTAATTTCTCTAGTGGGATTTTATATATCGAGATAAAACCTTAAGAATGAGCTTCATTAGTTTACATAGTCTATTTTCTTTCATCATCCGCCTTCCCTCTGATGTCACATCCTCAGAGCCTAAAGAAAATTTGAATATTGCGTGCCTTTTGCTGTTTGATTCCTTTTTTTGTTGTTTTGGGGGGGTTAAGGATCATTGGTAGTTGCGTTCGTGTACAAGGATCTGCATGACCTACTTCTGACAGATCAAGCTATCAGGAGTGAAACAGACAACAAAAGGTGATGCTATTTTCCTATTATTGTATGTCGCTTTCCATGGAAATACGTAACACGGAAACACATAAGATCTACGTTCAACTAACCTGAACTTAGACACTTTCCAAAACCTTAACTGGGGTTGGAAGTTTCCCTGCCTGTCTCAGACCATTCCATCTTCATGAAAAATTCGCTTCAATATGCCAAAGGTACACGATGTTACTTCTTTGGTTCTGATTTATTTTTAAATAAATTTCCTTCATAGTTATATCAACTCCAAGATAATGGCCATAGCTATGGACCCCAAGCCAAACAAGTTGCGAGTAAATGTCATCCTAAAGTTCGAAAATCTGAAGGTAAAATTAAAATAAGTTGTTATGCATTGTTTTGATTTATTTTGACATGATAAAAATCTATTTTCAGGTTTCGACAGCAGAGAAGCGCTGTATGTTTTGGAGTGACTTTAACACAAGGTAAAAAACTGCAATATATTATTGTATAGTATTTATTCATTGTTCAGGTTAACAATTTCCTGGTAGCTAAGATGTTGTCTTTTTTCGTAAAGTCCGACTAAAATGTTCTCCCAACTAAGACACTACAACCATAACGTAAAATTACCGAACATCACCTCTTCCCCAAACAGTGTTTAATTTTGTGCGCTTTGTTAACTTTACTTTTTTTATAGGTCAGAAGGCTTTTCAGAGGAAGGATGCCATGTAGTTTCATTGAAAAGCAACTCAGAAGAAACAGTTTGCAGCTGCAATCATTTGACGCATTTTGCCGTCTTAATGAACTACGACGGTAGCACAAAGGTAATCAAAAGCCAAAATAATGTAACTAACATTTAACTAACTCAATGTTCTTATTTAAATTTTTTCTTTTTGACACAGCTCGCCGAAGAGGACGAAACAGCTCTGAAAATTATCACCCACGTCGGACTAAGCCTTTCCATCGTCGGGATCCTTTTAACATTAATACTTTATTCTTGCCTCACGTAAGTAATCTACCTGAATATCAGTGAGGTAGATTCTTGACTTCCCTCAACTATGCTAGAGAGAAAAGAGATCTCAGTGCAAATCTCCATGCCAATAAAAACACACATGTCGGGTAACTCAAAAATTCAAATTACATTCCATGCCCCATAAAGAACGCTTGAACAACTCATAGTTTCATTGTTTATGAATTGCTTAGGGTTTAGTCATTTCCCTCGTGATACTTTCTTTTTTGTACTTTCTGGAGCTATTTACTGAAGTTTTTTCTTTCCTTTCCCGTCAGAATTTTACTTGATTTCTTTGGCCATATTTTACTGTTCATTATAATTAATTCAATTCTCTTCTTTCTTGTGCTTAGTGTCTTTAGTGTATTGTTGTTATTGTTGTTGTTGCTTTTCTCTAATTCATTCTTTTTATTTTTACTATTATTACTATTTTTTTTACTATTTCATCAGAGATGTTGGTCAACCTCTCTCCCAAATTCGAATGAGTGTTTCTATGTCCCTTGGAGCTGGACAGATCATCTTCCTCGCCGGAATAAACGCCACAGAAAACAAAGTTAGTGGCCCCTTTTTCTATCCATGGAATGAATTTCCCCGTTGCACCGTAAATATCTTGTCGAAAGGAGCGTCATAAGTATACGAAAACTCTTTCTTTCCACAGGCTGCCTGTGTTACAATAGCAGCTCTGATGCAGTATTTCTTGATGGCCGCTTTCTGTTGGATGCTGATAGAGGGAATATTTCTCTACCTTTTCGTTGTGAAAGTTTACAACATCAACAGCAAGATGTATATGTATCACGTCATCTCATGGGGTAAGTCCATTATTTCACAACATACACTAGTGACTTTAACCCTGCTTTCGGATCACTAAATATGATGTTGTCATCCAGCGAAGTTTTACGATTTCCTTCCTTTCTCTATGGGTAGGTCTTCCAGTGATCATGGTGGCCATGTCACTTGGCATTGCTGCTGGAAAAGAAGGGTTACAAAGCTACACGAGTGATAAATAGTAAGAAAAAAATTCAAGGGTTTCTTCTTACTCTTCTCCTTTTAATTTGTTGCATTTAATTGTTTGTTTTGTTTTTGCACATATTTTGAGATTGGCATCATTTCGTTTGCTAAAAATTTGTGTTTCTTTCCTGTGTTTCACTTCTTCGAGTTTAGTTGCTGGCTTTCCTCGACTAACAACCTGATCTGGATATTCGTCGCCTTTGTAGCTTTCATTGAAATTGTGAGTTTATGATTAGTGTTGGTGATTTTGATTGGTGATTGTCATTGGTATACTTGGACTACTTGCTGCTAAAGATTTTTTTCTCTGCTCTTTAAAAAACGATTTAAGTATTTATTATATGACCCCGCATAATATTTACCATTTTCCTTTTCCTATTTACTCACAATAAACTTTGGACGTAGCTGCTTGTCGAGGATGCTTGTCGATTTTAACCTACTGATGGCCTTTAACAGTGAGAAAAACCTGTTGAGACAATGTATTTACAAGCATAAGATAGCTTCGTGAATTATCCAACTTTTACTACATAGTATGAAGAAAAAAATTCTACTCCCTCCCTGTTGATGGTTTCTCACTGTTTCACATTGATATATTAAGATTGTTTTTCGCGCAAGAATAACTAATTTAAAAAAACGTTGAACAGGAAGAAAGTAGCAGGAAGAGTAGAAGATTGTAAATTTATATAATTTAACGCTAGGATTCACTTGACATAGTTCATTCAGTTAAGACTCTTTACCTCGCGATTTCTTTAGCTCATTATTGTCAGATAATCGAAGCTCATAATCTAGGTCCCCCGGTTGTGAGTTCTATTTCCTGTCAATGACTCTTTTATCCAAAGCTTGTTACCAAACAAGTAACGTCTCTGTCAAGGATCCTCTCCTGCTTTGGCTACTCGATAACCATATCTAGATAATCAATTTATTTCTATTGTATTCTTCAGCTCAACATCTTGATACTCATACGAGTCATAAGGGAGATGACCAATTTGTTGCAGCCAACAGGGGAAGACAACCATCTTCAGCAAATAGGGTAGGATTTACAACATAAAACTAAAACAATATAGCCTCCTGTGAGGCTATATTCCCCAGACTTCCTCTTTCATTAATCAGTCAGGCCTTACTATATCTAACAATGAAAATCCATTTTCAACGAAAGTTATGGAATATTTTTTCTTAATTCCTAGAATTGGCATCAAGGCAAGCGTGGTGATGATTCCCTTGCTGGGTGTCACGTGGCTATTCGGTCTCCTCTCGCCTGTACATAAAGCTTTCGCTTACACCTTCACCATACTTAACTCTGCTCAGGTCAGTGTTCAATGATATCTCTCAAAATCGTTCAATATCTATTATGTTACTTTCTAACCAAGTGAGACACCGTTACAATGGTCATATGATATTTTTTGGAATTTTGAAAACAAAAAGCTGTTAACTATGCAAGAGAAGACAGATTTCTTTTTCCATTATAAGATATGCAATTTTCCTTCCTTCTTGGAAATCTTAATAGATATCTGACTAATTTATTTGCATATTGTAAAAATTAATGATCTTGAAATCATATTTATGCTGCAGGGTTTCCTGATTTTCGCTCTACACTGTATGCGAAACACTCAGGTAAGAAAAAACATCAAACTGATTATTAACTTTTAGTATTTCGATAGATATCCGAGTACTAGTACTAAGAACCGTATTTTATATTGCTTGTCTATCTGCAGATCAAAGAGCGATTCAAAAGAAAAATGAATATCGTTTTTCCATCTTCTATAAAGAACAACTATTCAAGGAAGAGCTCACGGGTCAATCCAAGTGAGGTTGGGGATATATGGGCAGTCGAATTGCAGTCTTTTGCTAAATTTGAATCGAAATCGCACTTAACTTAAATAAGTGGATATAGCCAACCGGAAAAGACAGTCAAATTCTTGGTACAAACACTTAGTTAACAGCGATTAGTCGGTTGCGATCGGTCTGAGTTACGATCTGCAGCTAAAAGAGGTCATTCTGTTCATCTTTGTTTAAGCACCCAACTAGTTGTAAACGTAACCTAACTTCTTCATGATTATAAGGTTATTCTCTCAGCAATCGGATAGATGCGGGCAAGATTCGACGACATAAACCAATCTATCAATTTAAATTTCTAATGGCTCAGTATGCTGACGACTGTCCTTCGAATAAGGTTAGAACGTGCCAGGAAATCATGGCTCGTTTTCCTTTAAAAAAAAAGCTGTGTGTATTTAATTTTTTGATTCTTACACGCCAACTCTCTGCGCTTGCTGCATGATTATTTCATATTCGGCGTTTTACTTATTGAGTTAACAAATTTTTCATCAAACATTATTATTACTATTAACAATAAGCCATGGATAATAACTGAAAATATAAGTTTCTATAAATTTCGAGAATGGCTATGTATTCCAAGGAACTTTCTAGAGCACTCTATTAGGTTTCGTAGATATGATGTAACACTACCAATACAGTTATGTTGTAAGCTTCCAGAATTTTCTGGAATACTTTGTACATAAGGACTGAGTCGTGTAGCAGTAGTACTTATTGTTGTCGGGAGTGAATGATTTTTCAGAAAGCTGTAACGAAAGAGAGCTACTGTGGAAGATTGTTAATTTAGGTGAACTTTGGAGACAACTGTGAGATTGTGTCAATACTGAGCTAAGATATAGTTTGTAGTGGGCTTCTTTAAGTTTATTTAAGGATAATTACTCTACTTCCTTTAAGAGTCGCTCATTGATAGGAATATTACAAGTTGTTTGATAAAGTAGTTAGGTTTGTTGATAAATAATGCTCTTTCCATCGGACGTTCGCGAGGGTCCACTGTATCCTTAAAAATGTTTCCCTCGTGTAACAAGTTTTGTTCAGCTGGTTGGTAAATTGCACAGATGCTGTACTTTATTTAAATTTCTCCGTCTGCTCCCTGAGGAAGGAAATAAAAATCATGGGTAGATTTTTATTTTAGATATAGCAATTAAATGCATTAGTACTAGTCTAACTCGAAATCTAATAAACTTTTTCATCGTTTCAAATGTTGTTCTTGAGATAACAATCAATTTGTTTGCTCATTTCCTTTTCTACATTCATCTTTCCTTTGTTGATGGATTTGCAAGATTTGTATAACATTCATGTACCTTAAAATGAACGGAAAAAAAGACAATATCTGACTGATTTCGCTAATAACCAGTCACAGACTTCGTGATCTAAAACGTGAGTTAGAAAGCAAAACAAAAAAGTCAAAGGATAACGGTGCCATTATTATGATTTCCCTGGTTTCCACTTTTAAAACCTTGCCTAATTCTAATTTTTGCTTCAGTGACGTAAAGGGTTTTGTTGCTTATCGTTTGTTATTAAAATTAAATGTAAAAAAATACTTTCTCGAATCCATCATCATCGCATAGGGGGAATCAATTTTATGTTTATTGTATTCTATTATAATATCCATCATCTTCGCATAGGGGAATCAATTTTATGTTTATTGTATTCTATTATAATATCCGATCCTTTGAATTGTAAAGTTGTAGGGGGGCCTATTTCAATGCAATACAGTGAACATAATAGCAAGCTCTACTCTATAGCGAGTTTAGTAAGGGTTACCTCAGTTCTCATATGTCACCGGAGGGCGTGGAAACATTTTCTTGTTTACAAAATAGTCATTACTGTGTTGGAATTTAATTGATGTTCTGCTCACCGAAAAGATAAACATAGCCATGCGTAGCATCCAAGAGTTATTACTTTGGTTAGGAGACCTGAGATGGGACACTTCGTGTTCCTAACGCTTTCAGTTTTGTAACAGAAAAGGAGCATAACTTTTAAAGTAACGAAAATGTCGCACTACTTAACCTTAGGAGAAAGGAAAAAAATCTAATTTATCTGAACTCACACTATTTGTGGTCTATTGTCTCTATTGTTTAAAAATCTCTAAGCAAAAACAAAATTCATCGGTGCCACGCCTACTGTTGTCTCCTTCCCAGCTGTTGTTTGGTCTCTCACTCACTGGGAATAGAGGGCGTTGCGTGACGAGAGCAAAGAGATGCCAAATGCCGTTTCTTAGACAGAGAGAAAAATCAACATTATTCATATCCATAAAGGGGTAAGTTTCTAAAGAAACTGTGGTGCTGCGTCGGTGGGAGAGTATAGCAGGTAATTTAAACAACTGAGGTAAAGGGTAAAAAAGCTGACGTTTCGATCGTTAGCCCTTCGTCACAGCGATTGGAGGAATTGTGGGTTGTGTGTGTGTTTATATGCAGAAAGTGGAGCTACACCATTAGTGGGATATGGTGACGAGAAAACAAGAATAAATTAGTTGAATGAGAAGCGCTCGTTGATTCCGTGGGGATTAGGGTGCCGATTTGGAAGATAAATTTTTTGTTCTAGTGTTTTACGGCTTTCCGAACTGCCTAGATGTAAGGAAAGGCCGCAGACTGCCATATGCTGTTTAGAATGATTAAGAAGATTAAAGTGTCTAGCGACTGGTTAGGATGCGTCCTTGTCATTTCTTTCCACGTCGCGAAGGTGTTCCCGAAATCGGTCACCTAGTCGTCTTCCTGTTTCGCCGATGTATAACTTATTGCAATAAGTGCAAGTTATGCAGTAAATCACATTGGCGGAGGTACATGTAAAGTGATCAGTGATCTTAATGAAAGAACAAGTTTTGCATTGTGAGCGAGCGCATTTGAAAGTTCCAGATTAGTCATTGGTTTGAAATGAACTCCTGACTAAAAAGTTGCCTATGTTTTTGTCACGTTTGAATAAAATAAGTGGGGTTGCGAAAAGATAATGCCAGTCTCCGAATCGTTTTGGAAGAATTTAAAATTTTTAAGAATGATAGATTTAACTGCGTGGTTGTGAGGGTGAAATGTAAGAGTAAATGGAATGCGGTCAGTGTTTTCCCTCTCAGCCGTGGGTAGATGGAGTAGAGTTATGAAGCACGAAGAAGAAAATCTAAGAAGACGAAAGAAGTCTAAGTCCAGCAATTACCTTTTGAAATCGTAGCTCTAGGATTCTTGAGAATCCGTCCTGTGATGCTACCCATGAAACCACGTAGCTGTTTACAGTCACAAACCGGGTGGATAAACGGAACCTCGACGCACCCTTCCCCCCTTCCCATGTATCTTTTTCTAAAATGATTGTAATATATGCTATCGTTAGCAGAGATGTTCTGCTGAAACATTTACGTTATCGCGATTTCTGAGAAAAGTCAAAATATCAGGGCTTACTGACTTTTCGGATCCGGTACAAGGTACTAAAGAGGGAAGGAAATTTATCCCTGCTCGCCTTGGCGTCGGTGAATATCTCGCAAGATATACTTTTTTGCGTTGGCTTCATTAAACATCTCAAATTGAACAGAACATGAATGTGTAGCGACAACGCTCTCCTCATGCCCGTCTCTCCCAGGTTGATCCTTACTTCCAAAAAAAAAAGCTGAACCCTTAGTTGTAGAAAAATTAACCTTGAAAATCTTTCCTTCCTACACTGCGTTATTTTCTGTTATTCTGGGTTATCTGAAGCAGAGAAATGGCCCCAATTTTAACCGTCAGCCGTAAAAAGTTCTCCTTGGTCGGCCCTCCTCAGTTTTAAGAAAGTTTCGATTTTTTAACAGGCTTTTTAGTTAAGTGTGCAATCGTGGAAAAAAAATCAATATTTTCTACACTCGAGGAACCACACTGACCTAGGATACCTCCCATGATGAGGACGCTTTCGATAAACAGATGAAAGCACCATCTCCCAAAGGGAAAGATAATTTCTTTTTTCTTGCTTCCGACGATTTTTGTTAAAACATCATAACTGTCGCGTTACATGCAAAAGGAGCGCGTCGCGTGGCATCCAAAGACACGGCTACCAATGAAACTAGCAGTTAAAAAATCTGAAAATGTCGAGGTTTATATCTCATTTAATAGCTTTCTCCAAGGAAATGGGAAAAAGTTGAGCGAATGAGACATTGGTGCGCTCCTACTTCAAACGACAAGATGTGACAAAACATCGTATCTGTTACATAACGTGTTAAAGAAGTGCGTCGCGTGAGATCCTGAAGAACGGCTGCCAATGATCGGTACCAGCAGTTATAGAGTCAGAAAATATCGCAGTTTGACATTCAAATGTTACTTTATTGTACTTAGATAATAAGTAAATAGTCTAAATGGAGTAACTAAATAAAATCATTTAGCTCCAACTTTCCAGCTCGTTCTGAGCTTCTTTCAATGCTCTGTAGGTCAGTAACTAAATTTAAAATCAAACTGCTCGTTTTGCCTTTAGGAGATTAGTTTAAACAATATACTTAAAATGAATCATTCAGCATGTAAAAAATAACATAATTTATCGCATTCAGAATTAAAGAAGAAATCTCAGAATATTAACAAATACCAAGACGAAATCCTAGCCATTACGGCCAAATCTGTCATTTTAAGTCCAGATAAAAAAAAATTCTGATCCGCAGAAACTAACTTTATGTACCGCATCGCGCAGAATGCCTGGACATCATTAATTATTCATCAGCACTGAAGCGGGAGATTTGAATGCACTCGCGCCTTGAAAAGCCCATAATTGGAAAAGAAAGGGCCAAAACTAGCGCAGCAGCGTTCATAAAAGTCGGTCTTTCAATTGCCAGAAGCCATAAGTGGGAAACCCAAGAGCGGGTTTTTGAAGAGGAAGTGTTAATCTTTAATTTAAGCTTAAAAAGAGGAAGTTTGAGAAAGTATAAAGACTATTCCTGAGCCTTTGAAATGACGAAAGGCCTATTTCAAAAGCGATTTTTCAAAATTCAAACCGGCTTCCAAAAACCCAAGAACGGGAAATAGAACATGGATCTCTCCTGAAACAGAATCCGTTTTAACTTGGAAAACTGGTGAACGACAACCACCATTCCTCACAGTTTTAAAATTTTTAGTCGAAATTCCTTTCGAAAATGGCGCGTTTCGAGTTCGACATTGTTTTCACCCCACGCTTCAATAACAATGGTACCAAAACTAAACAATGGCCTCTTCAAGAAAACCACTCATTTGTGAAATAGACGATTAACCGCGAGTTTTAAAGATGATCTTAGCGCATCAGTTGCTTTATGCAACTAAACCACGCGCTGATGAATGATCAAAGAAAAAATGACCGTGATCTGGAGCTCTTTTCAGAGCTCATAGAACCCCCGATCCACCTTCATCTCATACAAGTAGTTCCACCTTTCCTTGAGGAAAGCAATCCAATGTACATAATTCAAATGAGCGGTGAAGCAGCCTGGAAATGGAGAGTGTTTTACTAGCTAATTTAGTGTTAAGAACTATGTTGAAAACGTAAATTAGCCACTGTAAAGGGTAAAAAAGCTGACGTGTCAATCGCTCTGACGAAGGGCTAACGCTCGAAACGTCAGCTTTTTTACCCTTTACGGTGGCTAATTTTCGTTTTCAACTTAGTTGTTAACACTAAATTACCTGTTATACTCTCCCAACGACGCAGCACCACAGTTTCTTTATAAACTTACCCCCTTTATTCATTGTCTTACTGGCTGCCTCGTAGAGTGTTGGATTCACTCCAAGCGAGCACCCTGCGACATTGTGGGGAGGCCTTAAGGCCTCCCCCGTGAGCAAACAAAGAAAACTTTATCTTTGTCTAGTAAAGGAAAAAGAATACAAAGGCATATAAAGCCCGTGAACAGAAGTAGGTAATGTCTAGCGCAAGACAATATTTTTTTGCTACCCTGTGTAGCAGTCGTTTTCTCCCCAACTGAGGAAAAAGGCGAACTGAAAAGCTTGTGAGACGCAGACAAAGAGAATCCGCACGGTAACCGACCAGCGTGCAGCTGTTTTGCTTAAACGCGACGAGTAGACTGAGGGCAGGCGAGTTGCTCTCTTTTACTGGCTGCCTCATGTGTGACTTTTATTTCTTTTCGAAGACACAAGTGTCAGAATGACTCACCGACTTCATAACGTCCTTTCTATTGTAGAAAAATTATGCTGGTTGATTTTTCCAATGCAAATCAAATCCTAAACGGGTAATGACAGAACTCACGTGCTTATTGAGTAAGATGAAGAAAGAGATGAATATGTAACGGACGGTTTCAAAATCGTGAGTTATTCCAGGTTGTAACACACGCACGTAATGTGTGACTGGGTACAAATCCTCTAAAACTTAAATACAATTTCCATCTGACATAAACTAAGATAATCGAGCAAACAGACAACTGATTATTCTCCAATTTCCATGGAAATTCTCCACACACGCACATGGCTGTAACAGCTTTACATCATTCAAGAGACAAAAACCGACTGAGAAAAATCTTTTTAAAAAAACTGTGGAAACGATTTCGAGACGTTTCAACTTCGACGTTGACGTAACGCCTTAATCCTCTTAGTGGTAATACTCAGAGTAAAAAATAACTTTTTACGTAGCTACTCATGATAATTTCAAGACATCACATAAAAAAAAAACAGTAGTTTCAGCAGGACACCAAAGATCAAGCTCGTAAGAGCAGTTCAGACAAGCAAAAAGTCAACTTTTAAATCAAAGGAAATTCATTGGTTCTTCCTGCTCTGAAAAGAAGACTCTTTACAAAGATTTCATCGGTAGCTCACTGGTTTCTGGTCCAAATATTAGCGTTTGTAGGTATCCGAAAACACTCTGGGATTCCAATGCTCACTGCCTTAGCTGAAAAATAAAAGAATCAGTTTAGGGAGGATAGTCGAGTTTCCATGAAATATTTTCTAGCACATGAAACGATGCATTGCATAACTAGATTGTTTTAAAACTAATAATATAAATTTAAAAAATACTCAGTTCTGATTGGTTAAGATAAATGCAGTTTTCAGGTAATTCAGTGCAGAAGAGGGTTAATTCAGTGCAAAGAAGTATAACAAACCAGACATTCTGATTGGTCATTAAACAAAGAAACTCACAGATAGCCTATCAAGTGCGAGCCTTTGATGTCGCAACATTTGGATACGCTGAAAATCTGCGATCAAAACAATAGCCGGCATCTTACAGCAGCTGAAAAACAGCTCCAACAACGAAAACACTGTAAAAAGCATTGCTCTTTGGTTGTCAGTTTGGAAAAAGTAGTGATCAGAGAAGGGAGCTGCCAGGGAAATCGAAAATTACGAGCCGACCCAGTTTAACGCTTAACTCGAGCGATTCTACGCCGAAACTATAAACAAACATGGTTAAACCTCGGAAACGACGATTCCATTTCATCGAAAGTGATTCGGACAGAGACTGAACAGTTCCTTGAACTGTTTAGCTGGAATTTGAGCTTTTTTGCGCCTTAAAGATGTGAAAATATGATTATATGTTATTGTTTTGATCGTACGCGGTTGTTTTGACCGAACGCACAATGTCACTTGCAGGGTTTAAATAGATTATTTTTGCACTTGATATGCGCACTTTGCTTCTGTGTAATTATGATAAGCTATCTCGCATTTTTCAATGTATATTATTAATACGTAACCACATGATTTTTCTGGCGCAATTTGGAATAAATAAGCACTCGTTAATTTTTTCAAAGACCACAAATTGCACTCACCCTACGGGCTCATGCAATTTTGTTAGTCTTAAAAAAAATTTACTTGTGCTTATTTATTCCAAATTGCACTCGAAATCATGTGATAACCTTAACTAATTTGCTGTTTTACTCCTATCATGTTTCCTAAAAAAAATGATATCATCGTAAACGTGTCCACTTGGTTGTAATGCATCTCAATTTGCCGGAGCGAAAAATAAATTCGTAACCCAACTGAAAGGAAAATCATACGAAAGTATCAGTGCTCACACATAAGCAATAATTCTGATTTAATGCAACTTTGTATTGAACAGAATGTATAAAAAAAGTATCTACTTACTACAGCTTCTAAATATCCTTGAAATCCAGGTTGACGTCGTCACCAATGAGTACAAATGGTGCCCAGTGAATCACCTCCTTGAACTTTTCAATTTCTCTCATACACTTCATGGCCTGATTGAGAGCTTCACTTGCCTTCTTGCCTTTGGCAAGTGCATCGTAAAGGAAACTTATGAACTCCAGGGTCCCCTCGTCGCCAATCGCCCACAAGGTTACCACAACAGATCTAGCACCGGCATCCAAAAGTGCACGCGCCATGCAGACCACACCCTTAGCCATGACCTCCCCACGAGCAGTGTGACAGCAGCTAAGTACAACCAGACGTGCTCGCATCCCAGCTTCTCTCACATCTTTCATCGTCAGTAGATAGTCTTTTTCTTGCGGCTGAGGGTTTTCTCTTGTGGTGTTTGGCGCCAAGATAACTTCTCCAGTTTCCATTTTACCGTGCGCTGCTATGTGAACTAACGCCACTGATGATATTCGTTTCAAGACTTCATGTTTTGTTGCCATTTCTCTAATGAGGGGAGAGACATTAAGGATACGTCCGATCATCTCCACTTCTTTCCTTGCTCCTGTAAGTTGCACTAAACGTCTTCCCTGATCTTTGAAACATGGGTTGCCGACAAGCAATGCTCCTGTCTTCATGTGAAAGTCAGCTGGACAATCATGAATTAGTTGCAACGTCGTCAGAGAGGGAAGCACACGAATTCTGAAAGAATCACTTAGATACGATGAGTCCGAGTCCTGCAACGCTGCAAGAGGTACAAGACAAAATGGCCCCTCAGGAACGAATGTTTGCTCGTTGCCTTCGATCAGATCAGCAATAGGAGAAACGATGATGTCATGCAGCTTCTTTAACGCACTTGATTGGGAGTGCCTCACATCAACTCGGATCACATCATCGGCCACTTCCTCTTCTGTCGGCGAATCAAGCGGAGGATTTTCGATTCTAACAGTATCTCTTGCACCGATCTCCTGAAGAGCAGTTTTGTTCAGTAGCTGGATGAAAAATTCCAATTCATCTTCGTACTTGTAATTGTTGACGTGTACCTCTCTCATCTGGATATTATCTTCTCTAAGGCAAACCCAGAAGTAAACGCATGGTTCATTAATAACTATGAAAACTGTGCTCAATGGAACACAACTCAGAGAAACGCACGCTGTGCGTTGAAGAATCTCCAGGCTGATATTTTGTGGCCATGAGATCTCTCAGAGCTTGAGCACGTCCTTCCTCTCCTTTCTCTTTGTTCGACTGAATAACGTGGAATTCTCGAAAATTGGGAAATGTCAGTCTGTTGGAATACAAATAGTAGTGAAATTTTTGGTTTGCCCAATCAAAAAAACATCCAAAACAAATATTCTCACAACTTGTCTGATTGATATTGTATTTATATTGTAAGGAGAAATCCTGTCTTGGTCACTCATGTGAGATAAAGGGTTAGAGGTAAAGTCAGCACAAGAGGCACAGGTCTAACCTTGCCTATGCTTATGTTAATTTCAGTAGCATCAGGTGACTAGGAGAATTGCTTAGTCCCCTCTAGACAAGGTTCCCCTCTCCCATATCCGATTTTATAATAAAGTTCGGATATAACGCGCGCTTTCATTGTTTGAAAGAGCGTGCTCTATGAGAGTATAGAGCATAGAACTGAGCTAAAGCTGTCACGCCATCTGCCAAATTGTACCATGTTCGACCTTTTCCGGGACTTCTTTTTAGCTTTTTTCCGATAATTGAAAGTGAAATTTCGGAACAAGCGAGCCGGCAAGTAGTAACAGAAGAACCAAAGAAAGGTTTGTAAACATACCAGGCGCCGTTATTTACGTTAATAAAACGTAGGCAGATACGAAAATCCTCAAAGGAAAAACAAAATAGACATTCCGAGTTTTAAAGATTTTCTCGCTCAGTTAGATTGCAAGCTTACGTACGGTAATGAAAATCAAACACAGCCAACACTCGTATAGTCTATAGAGTTCAGAGTTCAAAAACAAAACAGAACAAAACAGAAATGATGAAAAATATAACCAAACTGGCATAATTGTTAAAATTCATACTAATCATGACGGTGTCTGAGCAAATATGATCATGCTGAAGTCCATCGCGGCTCACTTATCATGCCGATCTCCGGTCATCACATTAAAGCAAGCCTCAGAAACTACATCGGCCGCCCTTCGAATGAAAAAATAAGAGCTCGCTCTGATATCCTTTCCAATGTGTTGAGTGGAAAGTCACTTCAGTCACTGCAGCCGAGTTTTGCGGCGCTGTCATCCCGAGCGATCTTCATGTTCCGGTGAATTCGGCTGTCGTTCATTTAAAAAACATTCGCCTTGAACAGTTTGTTTTCTACCTTGTCATGTGAAAAAACCCGCGTGTTTTTATGAGCCATAATTCGGCTGAAGTTCACTGAATATTTCACTTCAAGATTCTGATTTAAAAACTTCAGGCAAAAGCGTTAAATTCGACCTGCCGAATTATTTTAGTTTGTAAACTATCGCAGAGTGTGAACTTTGATGGTTTTTGAACTTTGATGGTTTGACACTTTTGACAGGTTTTGTCTTGTACAGCCAATCAGATTATTTGAACCATTCTAACACGGATTCTGATTGGCTTATTGTAGCGTGCTCTATGAGAGTATAGAGCATGCTGACGACACTGTTCTTCGCTTTGGAAATAAAGTTTCTTTTGAAAATTGAAAGTAATACATGGGGAATTTAACGGATTCTTTATTATAAAACAAATAGAGAAGCCTTGACTGTGCTCTGTTCTGTTATAAAGCACTTAGGAAGCGGCTAGAGCACTCAAGAAGTGGGAAGAAACACTCGACTACGTCTCGTGTTTCTCCCTACACTTCTTTCGTGCTCTAGCCGCTTCCTGCGTGCTTTATAACAGAACAGAGCACACTCAAGGCTTCTCTATTTGTTAAACAACACTAATCTAAACTATGACAAAATTCTCGAACGTGATTGGTTATCACCAGCCCAATTTGAGCACTAACAGGACAGTGTACGCGTCATGTTTGTAACTGGACAATGTAATAGGACAGTTAAAGCGACAGTTAACACGCCATGACTTTGTTGGTGGACAGAACGCGTCATGTGCGCGCGCTGTTGTCTCTCATTTAATTGTTGTTTTTACAATTGGTAAAAAGGACTTCGTGTCGTCCAATTCTGCCTGATTAATAAAGGTACTAGGACCGAGTGGAGTCCAGTTCAGTCTGTAATCGTACGAGTGATTAACAAAATCGGACGAGCGCGAGGCGGGAGTCCGATTTGTTAATCCCCAGTATGATTACAGACAATTTGATGACACGAAGTCCTGTTACCAATTAATCAAAACTATGAAAAAATATGAGAAAGAAATTAGACATCGGTTGTACGTTTTCATAAAAATGTCAACAGTTAACTCGGCGAAATGCGATACAACAGCGCGCGCTCATGACGCGTTCTGTCCACTTACATTAACTGTCCACTAACATTAACTGTCCACTTACATTAACTGTCCACTTACATTAACTGTCCACTTACATTAACTGTCCACTTACATTAACTGTCCACTTACATTAACTGACCACTTACATTAACTGTCCACTTACATTAACTGTCCACTTACATTAACTGTCCACTTACATTAACTGTCCACTTACATTAACTGTCCACTTACATTAACTGTCCACTTACATTAACTGTCCACTTACATTAACTGTCCACTTACATTAACTGTCCACTTACATTAACTGTCCACTTACATTAACTGTCCACTTACATTAACTGTCCACTTACATTAACTGTCCACTTGCATTAACTGTCCACTTGCATTAACTGTCCACTTACATTAACTGTCCACTTACATTAACTGTCCACTAACATTAACTGTCCACTTACATTAACTGTCCACTTACATTAACTGTCCACTTACATTAACTGTCCCTTTAACTGTCCTATTACACTGTCCAATTACAAGCATGACGCGTACACTGTCCCATTAGTGCTCAAATCGGGCTGGTGATAACCAATAACGTTCGAGAATTTTGTTATAGTTTTGATTGAGTAGATTAATTCGTGATTAACAAATCGGACTCCCGCTTCGTGGTCGTCCGTTTTTTTTAATCACTCGTGAGGGAAAAGCATTTTGACAATCATATACACTTGTACTCACATTTAGAGGCTGAGTTCTTTCAATTTTTATCCCCAGTCTCTCAGTCAGTTAATCAACTTTCTCGTGTTGCTCTTATCACCCTGCTGACCAATAATCTGCTGCACTGCGCGAGGCCGACATTTGTCTACCCATAACACACTTGGTTCTCCTGCACAAAAACAAAATGACTTTTACTGTCAAAATCTTATGTAGATGAACCCATTTGTCTACCCATAACACACTTGGTTCTCCTGCACAAAAACAAAATGACCTTTACTGTCAAAATCTTATGTAGATGAACCCTTTAATCCCTGAGAGTGACTAACATCTAATTTCTCCTTTCAATATCAGCCCTGAATCAACCATTTAGGTCATGAGAATACAGCAAATGATCATCAACTGAAGAACCTCTTGATTGTTCAACAAATTCTCCTCACCAGCACATTAGGAACACATTGGAACTGAACAGTATGGAGAATATGCATACTGATGTTAGGGTGTAAAGGATTAAACAAAAACTATACTGTCTTGTAACTCAGTTTAAGTGACACAAACAGGTCTACAGGTGGAAGAACAGATACATGAACCAACAGATGAACTCAAAGGTGGACTTTAGGGTAAAACTGAGGTGTGGGTGAATGGATAGAAGGAAAGAGCAGAGTGAGTGACAGATAGAAAGACAGAAATTGGATGAATGTACACACACAAGAGCAGATAGACAGACACACAGACAACCAGTGTGATACTGTAAATTTGCCACCAAAAAGAGTTTCTAATGCTGATGTTTCAAGCTTAAGCCCTTCCTCAGAGTAGATGGCTAATGCTTGAAACATTAGCTGTACTCTTTAGGAAGGCCAATCTAAATTCTCAACTCAGTTGATAAAACCACATTATCTTGTTAATCTCCCCACTGATGCAGCACCACAGTTTATTAAAAAACTTACCCCCTTTAGACAGACAGACAGATGGACTGCTAGAAAGATAACAGCAAGGAACAATGGACAAACCCATAGATAGATACAAGTAGATGGAAGAAGGGAAATGAGGATGAACAAATTATGTTATCAGTTGCACACTAGCCTGTGGCTCCTATGAAATTTCATTGTTGACATCAATGAATTGTGTTAATTAATACAAATTTGTGGCAAGTTTCCCTAGTGACTTCAGAGTAAGCTGTACCCCTGATTTGTTACAAAAATTTAGGGAAAATTTTCCTGTTTTGAGCTGTGCATTACAATGTACCTTAGAAAGTTTGCTCTCTCCAGGATTCTGTCCCACCATGACATAACTTGTTTTCTTGCTTGCTGATTGGGTAACTTTTCCACCACATCTTTGAATCAAATCAGCAGCCTCCTGACTCTCTCAATACTTTCCAAAATTCCCTTAATAACAACTGTCAGTCCATCCAAACAGTTTTCCGCTCTCTAAAAATTAAATTATCAAGTGCAAGCATGATTAGAAGGTGCAAACAAATAATTAATTCTTCCCTTGAAGACCTGTTAATACTGTCCAAACTGAAAAGTTATAAATAGCAAAAAAGTAAAAAACCTCTAAGAATACACCATAAACATTTGGGATCAATGTCAGTATCTAAACATCTGTTGACCTACCCCTCCCCTAACCCAACAACAGTCAACTGATAACAGTTAATGTTGGATTAAGGGAGGAGTAGGTGTGCAGTTTCTTAGATACTGATATTGATCCAACATTTGTAAAACAACTGAGAGTAAAAGGATAAAATATAATTTTTTAAACCTTTAACTCCCATGAGTAACCAAGACAGAATTTCTCCTTACAATATAGATACAATATCATGCAGACAAGTCATGAGAATAAATACAAATATCAATCTTAGAATTATTAGTTGATCCAAGACCAAATTCTCTCAACCAATGTCACAAGAATTGCATGGCAGACAGTAAGGAGAATTACTATAGAGATCTTGGGAGTAAAAGGCTCAATCAAAGCATGCATTTTGCAATTTTTTTTTCTGTAAACTGTATCTGCAGATTTTCCAAACCAGCCTTAATTCTAATAATCTTCATTTCCCTTTGTCTTGCATCTTTCATTAAAAATTTATTTGAAAGGATGGAAACCAAACCACAAAGAGCTTTGAGAGACAACAATCTAACTAAGAGAATTAATTAACATGTAAATTCTCCCTAGAATATCCATACATTATCAGCAAACAGGTGCTGCAAACACTAAAACTTATCAGGTACATGTAGTTGCTATAATTGTGTGAATGACACTTCCCAATATGGTCATGCTAGGTGCTTCAATGATTGGTTCTTGAATATGAGGGAATTGGTAGAGATGAAGCTTGAAAATAAACCTTTTAATAATGATGTAATAAGAAATTCTCATTATTAATTTACAGGAAAACATCTCACAGCAAGAGGGGAGAATTAGCAATCAGATCTTGGACTTTGAAACCTACCTGAAGGATTTCCTTTGAACCAAGTGTCCTAGGACCATCTCTTGCCATAAAACTATGGTAGCCTGATTTTTTCTTTTCCAATGAGGGTGGAACTTCAACCACTTTCTCTGATTTTGACACCTTTGGTGTTCCTTTGATTGGAGTTTCTTCACAGGCATCTTTTTTTATCCTTTTTTGGAGTAACAGTTTTCTTTGGACTTGGTTTTGAGTCTCTAACTGGAGTTACTGGAACTGTAGCAGCTTTGGTAGCCAGTTTGCTAGCAGGAGTTGTCTTTGGTACTTACTGAAATGTCCATGGATAAAGTTTGAAGTGACAAAAGTTGCATGTATATCAAACATTCTAACAACTGAGAGTTGAAATTAGAAGATCCTCGCAGCTAAGAACACTACTGAAACTAGTAGTTGTAAGTAAGACCTGAAAAAAATTTCAGGCCCGTACGAGATTTGAACCCATGACCTCTGCGATACCGGTGCAGCGCTCTACCAATTGAGCTAACAAGCCAACTGGGAGCTGGTCAATGAATTGGGTACAAACAAACATCCGAGTGAAAGAAGATTTTAGATATATGAAAAATTCACATATTTGCACTGTGGTGGAAAGATGAAATTAGAAGATCCTCGCAGCTAAGAACACTACTGAAACTAGTAGTTGTAAGTTAAAGTAAGACCTGAAAAAAATTTCAGGCCCGTACGGGATTTGAACCCATGACCTCTGCGATACCGGTGCAGCGCTCTACCAATTGAGCTAACAAGCCAACTGGGAGCTGGTCAATGAATTGGGTACAAATAAACATCCGAGTGAAAGAAGATTTTAGATATATGAAAAATTCACATATTTGCACTGCAGTGGAAAGATGAAATTAGAAGATCCTCGCAGCTAAGAACACTACTGAAACTAGTAGTTGTAAGTAAGACCTGAAAAAAATTTCAGGCCCGTACGGGATTTGAACCCATGACCTCTGCGATACCGGTGCAGCGCTCTACCAATTGAGCTAACAAGCCAACTGGGAGCTGGTCAATGAATTGGGTACAAATAAACATCCGAGTGAAAGAAGATTTTAGATATATGAAAAATTCACATATTTGCACTGCGGTGGAAAGATGAAATTAGAAGATCCTCGCAGCTAAGAACACTACTGAAACTAGTAGTTGTAAGTAAGACCTGAAAAAAAATTTCAGGCCCGTACGGGATTTGAACCCATGACCTCTGCGATACCGGTGCAGCGCTCTACCAATTGAGCTAACAAGCCAACTGGGAGCTGGTCAATGAATTGGGTACAAATAAACATCCGAGTGAAAGAAGATTTTAGATATATGAAAAATTCGCATATTTGCACTGTGGTGGAAAGATGAAATTAGAAGATCCTCGCAGCTAAGAACACTACTGAAACTAGTAGTTGTAAGTAAGACCTGAAAAAAATTTCAGGCCCGTACGGGATTTGAACTGAGAGTTGTCCGGTTTAGGCAAGAGTTGTCCCAAATAGGAGTGTTGATGGTGAAAGACACTGCTGTTTTAAATAGTGGAGACAAAGAGGCAGCATCTTTTCAGAATGTCAAAGTTAAAGTCACCAAGAATGTAACTGAAGGTTTTGTGATGATTGTTACTGTTTTTAGTATAAATTCTAGGTACAGTAATTGTAGTATTTTGAGAAGTGTTAGTATTGTAAGTAGTTTTTTGTTGCAATTATTGTTAGTAATGTGCATCTGAGTTAAAACCATCTACTGTCATAGTAGGACAGGTTAATGTATATACAACATGCACATGTACCACCAGTTCACAAGTTTGAGTAAGCTTTTGGATCCTATACAGAGCCAAATTTAGTCATAAAATGTTACTGTTTCATCTACAAGTACCTTATTCAAATGCTTGATAACACTTACCATACACATGCAATCATATCAGATCCAATCTATTCTAGTATCAGGGTAGCAGGTTTATGCATTAATAGTAATGATTAATTTTGCAACAATTAAGGATGGTAATCAAAAGGCTTACAAACCTTTTTCTTCTCAGGGGAAGGCTTTGTAACCTCAGACTTTGATTCTGAGAAGTCTTCCTTTCTTTTCTTTGATGGTTGCTCTGTTGTGTGATGGTTGACATTCCCATTTTCTCTTCCTTCTTTTTCTCTCCCATTTTTTTACTCTTCTTTTCTATTCACTCTGGAGTCTTCATTTTCTTCAGACTTGTCAGATCTTTGTGGGAAATGAAAAAGGATAAAAAATTATTGACTTGCTCTACAAGGAATTAAGGGATGATCATTAAGTGGGTTGAGCTCTGGATCAAGCTTAAAATTTGCACTCTCAACAGTGATCAATTTTCTAATTTCTCATAACAATACCAATTCACAGTCAGGCAGCAATGTAATATCAGAGGAAAGAAAATCCTCAGTCAAGAGGATATTTATTGATTGAACAACATATTCTCAAAGATATTTTCATAACACTTGTGTGACAGACAGTGAAGAGAGTTGATTTAGATATCTTAAGAGCAAAAGAACTTATCCCTTTCAGGGACCACATGCCCTTGCGAAATGGCTCTTGGAATTCCTAGGAATTCCTAGGAATTCCTAGGAATAAAGGTGTGAATTTTCACGGTAAATTCGGACTGGGAATTCCTAGGAATTCCTAGGAATTCCTAGGAATTCCTAGGAATTCCCAACCATAACAACTCTGGTTCTAAAAACCTAGAAATTCCTAGAAATTCCCAGAAATTCCCAGAAATTCCCAGAGATTCCAAGTTTATAGCCAACAGGACTTGGAATTCCTAGGAATTCCAACTCAGAGAACCAATGACTTTCCCTGAAAAGCTGTAAATCTAAAAAATTCCTAGGAATTTCTGGGAATTTCTGGGAACTTCTGGGAACTTCTGGGAATTTTTGGGAATTTTTGGGAATTTTTAGGAATGTTTAAGAATTACTGGGAATTTTAAGCAAAAATTTGAGGCTAATGATATAAAATAAATACTTTAAATTTAAAAAAACCCAGCTAAAATTCAAGTATTCAATGAAATTTATTTAGAAGCTTAATTAAGGCTTACATGTAAAATATTTTTGATTAATTACTAACATCAATGTGTGGTAATATTAGGATGGAATTCGATTTATTTTTCTTTCCTTGAAAACTTCATACGGATTAATCCTCAATTACAGCTATTCATATAAAATAGTTCTAATCAATCATTAAATTTGGTTTGACACAAATTGTGAATAAAATCTGTTGATTCTCTTCCATAAAATACAATATCTTAAGTTCTATTTATATAGTTATATTCTTGGGAGTGAAGGGGCTAATTACAGACAAATAAAATTGATTTTTTGATTAAAATCTTGTTGTAACTGTAACAATAAATTAGAATGAAGTTATCCTAAACTGCAAACTTAGCTGCTGTTTGTACTGTTTGTATTTTTTTTCCTGGGCTCACAATGAGTTGGCCTTGAATGAGGTTGTCAACAAGAACCTTGACCATTTTGTATCTGGATTCCTTGACATCTGAATTTGAAAAATATATATATATTAAAATATGTATGTTTAAAGCTCAGACCAGGCTTTTAAGATGGCTATGAGGAAAAGGGCATTCATTGGATTCTCAAATTGAGAAATCTCTGTTATATTGAGTGACTTTTATATTGGAGTTAGTACATCTCTCTCATGGATTTTACTAAAAAAGGGCTGAATACATTATTTTGTTTTTACCAAGGAGGGCTTCTTTATGTACTAAGGTTTGTTATGAATCTTGAATGTTCCCAAACGTGACTAGAGGAATCTTGAAACCTTGCTGATAGGTTTATTTCATTGTAAAGCATAAGCTTAAGAAACTGCGGCATGCAAGTGACCGATTCGATTCTCAGAATTATTCTAGTTTCAGTTGCGCCGAGCGTTATGTAAGCTTAATTCAACCCGCTACATCTATTCTTTTATAAGATTTTGATCTCGTAACGAATATCGCAATTTTTACTCACCACAAACTTTCAAAATCGTAGCTTTACAGATGGCCACTCGACCCTTGTTTGTACCAGTCCATATGTCAACTGTTGTCCCTTCTTTTAACTCCACGGCGCCAACGACTTTCTTCTCTTTTACAACACTCACGCTATTCTCATTTTCCCATTGAACCACAATAATAGCTATCTTTAGAAATGTTATATTAAGCAAAACAGTTGAGAAAAGCGATCAACCGACGAAAAGTACATTCAAAGATGAGCGCCAAATGGAGTCTTCTTTGTTTCCGATCACGGGCATGATCACGTGGATCTTTTAGGACTTGTCATTGGCTAGCAAAGTGAATCCGCTGGCTTGCCGATTGCAGTGTTAAGATAAGCGCACAACTTTATTCTGACTTCTCCGACCGGTTCTCTGCTTCTAGAAGATGGATAGCTTGGTGATATAAATAAAGATGTGAGCTCACTCTGTGTAGAAATAATCGACAAGAATCTATCGTATTACAAATGCACGATTTGTGGCCGAAAGTTGTCGAGGAAACAAAGACTCGAAACTCACTTGAGTTGTGTTAATGGCAAAGGTGAGAAATAACACAAGCCAATCACAGTTTTGAATGCGACTACAAATCGTCTTTTACCCTCATATTTATAAAAGAAGGATACCACATTCGGAAGTATAAGAGATACATAGATGATCCCAGTGTACCAGTACCTAAATCTACAAAGCTTGACCGTAGCAAGCGTTCAGCAACACGTTCCAACACCGCCATCTCGATTCCTCAGTCAGTCGTTTCCACTGAACTTAAAGCAGTATTGACAACAGAGTAGAGTGCGTCTTACAAAGGAGAAACATTTGTACAAGAGACAGGAGTAGCTATATGCGATTACAGAGGTGCGTTGGAACTCTGGTCCATAAATAGTTATGCACTGTATAAAACAATTTTGTTGATAGCTGACAGACAGAGAAGAACAACAAGTAAACTTAAGAGCTGTTATTATTGAAGTGTGACTAGCACTTTTCATTTTTATATAAAGAAGGACTTGTAATTTGCACCAAAAATAAAAAAAAAATGTAATATTTTTTTGGGAGATCCAGTGATTGGGACATTTAAGAAATTAAGTTATGAAAGGAAACTTGGTTGGTACTTCTCACTACTAACAAGTCTTGTTGACAAATATTTTCAGATCAGAGTTTCAAATAAAGTAAATTGAAGACGTCATATAAAAGGTGTTTTTCCTCAAAGGGAACATTGATTACCTCTGTCTTGTCTGCATGCCAAATGTTTGCAAAGTGTGTGGATGATCCACAAGTATTGGAACTCTTACAAAAATTTTTTGTAAGAATAAAAACAGCAAAACAAATTACAGCAATTAGTCATGAAAATAGAGCAAAAAACTGAAAAAAAAAAGCAGCAACAACAATCATGAAAAAAGAAAGATTAATTAGGTGTTGAATTTGTTTGTCTAAGGCATGAAATTTCTACTAAAAGTATTGTCAACAAAAAGTCTCTGACAGCGTTTGAGGCAACTGAGCTTGACTGTCCCAAGGTTTTCTAACAAAGGCAACCAGTAATGTAGGTCAGGGAAGTAAGATAACAATGTAATTATTGTTAATTATTGTGGAAGTTGGCAATTTCCATTTAACATAACTGACAGCTGGTTCATGAGAAAATCCATATTAATGTAAAGATTTACTAAAACTTAGTTTGAGTAATAAATTTCATGATCTTTAAGTTGTAAACATGTACATGTATGTATATCTCTTGGTAAGTTTTGTATAGCATACCTTTTATTGAGCCAAAGTTTTAAGCCTCTGAAATTACTCTTTTTCTTAAAACGTTCACATTCAAGGTATTGAGAATTTCTTAGAATTTATGTGGACCTCAGGGTATTAAAATTGCTTCAAATTCAATTCCCAGAAATTCCCAAGAGTTCCACACTTCTTAAATTATAGGTAGTTTGTAAAGCTGAGAATTCCTAGGAATTCCAAGGGATTCAAGTCCTCACAAAACTGGAGTCTTCCTTTCCCAGAAATTCCCAGTAATTCCAAGCTTTTTAAATCAGAGTTAATTTGCATAGTTGGGAATTTTTGAGAATTCCTAGGAATTCCTAGGAATTCCTAGGAATTCCCAGAAATTCCCAGAAAACTGGGAATTCAGTTTGCAAGGGTCATTTGCATAATTGGGAATTTTTGAGAATTCCTAGGAATTCCCAGAAAACTGGGAATTCAGTTCGCAAGGGTGGTGTTGTTTTTGCAAAAACTATTCTCCAACATCTCCTCTCCCCATCCACGAAGTATCTTGAATATGATTACATAATACATGACTCAAACATTGGTCATTATACCCATTAATTTTGTGGCATGGTAGCTGTGAACCATAGTCCATTCTGATATAACTACTGTACAACAGATTGGCAGAGGGTTTACAAGGAATGCATGATGAAGCCCAAAATTAACATGTGATACATGAATTTTATAGAAAGGCAAGGTATGGTGAGGTTTAAAGTTTTCCTTGTTAAATGCATGATGCATGAAGTACTGTTTAAAATATGCAGGATGCCTGAATTTTTCTTTACAAAAAAAATAATGGGTGAAAAAAGTGTAGTTAGTTATTCACCTGTTTTCTCTTTTGGTAAAAATTTAATGTTTTCATGGGTTCCCTTTCAACTGGAGTAGGACCAAAGAAATCAGGTGCAGAAGTTGTTTTTTTTCCCTTTAGGTTTGACTGATATACATGTACATTTCCTAAGGTACTGACAGGGAGAAGTTATTTAACAAACAAGAGCTTAGTTGGTGATCATTTCCTTTATTCTTGTGCCCTTAACCTTGACACCTGTGTGTAACATGTGCCTATCCAAAAGTTAAAATTTTGGAGAAACTGGAAAAGCAAACACAATGTGCAGTAAATTTTTATGAATCATCTTTCACCAAAAAGAAGCTCCAGTGAAAGAAGACCATTTAAATAACTTACTTTCAACAAAAAGAGCAATGAATGTTAATGTTTGATTCAGGGGGAATATTGTAAAGAGAAATTAGATGCTGGTCACTCTTCACAGTCAAAAGGTTAAATGTATTAGCATAAGAGCAGTGTTCTATGACAGATCTAACATTCTCAATGCCTGATGGAAGAAAGGAAAAACAAACAAACAAACAGACAAAAAATAAAATTTAGCTGCATAATTTTAGAAGAAGCCA